TGTACTATATTATATATAGCTCTATTTTAAATACTAGGTATTAAATAATCACGCGGTATTACTGCAATTGACAAATATTTGTAAACCGCAAAACCGCAACCAAAACAAATAGTTGCGGTTAATTCTATCCCTAAATTGACAGCTGGAATGTCTTTGCTAATAAAAAAACGACTATGAGTGAAATATACTACTACATAAATACTACGCGCCAATAGTCTAATGATTTATGGTACAGAATAGGGTTGTAACGGAACTCCGCTTCCGCATCCGCAAGTGCGGAATTTCCGCAAGAAACGAAAACTCCGCATCCGCTTCGCCTTTAACGCAAGTGGGGTGATAAGATACCGTTTTGCGGCCCGAGGGTGCGTAATATGTCAACTATAATTGTCATACATCATAGTTTCATAACAAACTGTATCTCGTAATTATATACCAATCTATATTTTGAATTAAGCTAGTTTTAGTTTTTAATTCTTTAATAGATCGCAATTAATATTTTATTATTGACCTCCGCTTCCGCTTCCGTTAACCTCCGCTTCTACAGAGGTGAAGCCTTTCGCTTCCGCATCCGCTTCCGTTAAAATGGCCTCCGTTACAACCCTAGTACAGACTACCGATCTTGCGGACGAGGGTTCGAATCCCGCCATTTGACTATTGTCATTAAACATATCCTAGGACAAGTCTGGAGTTTAGTTATTATGGTTAAAGTAAAGATTAGTAAATTAACAAAAATCTATTATACTTGTATCAAAAAAATTATAATAACAATTTAAATTATTTTAAAACGTAAGGTATGGATTTAACACAATTGAATGTTGCTAATACACACTATAAGGTACTCGTGTTCTATTATTCCTTTTTTAAAAGATTAGTTTTTAAAAGTTGAGTAATCATCTATTATTGGCTGCCGGCCATATCGAGTGCGATGCGCCGTTCTACAGAAAGTGCTATGTGGCTTGGCGCAACAGGTTCTCGTCCTTCAGTTCTACGAGTCTCGTTTATATCAACCGCCACTACTCGTATAAAAGCAAAGAGGAATAACAGTGTGAAATTCACAAATATTTCGTCCACATTTTCTTGTAAACTACATACGAAACTGGAAAATGTTTCTTAAAATCTCACCTGTAATAAAGCTTGTGGTTTAATGTCGCCGAGCTGCGTCGCTACGTGACTTTATTCAGGCAATTTGAAGCATAATTAAAACTCAGTTAGCGGCTTTTAATTACTTAGTTAAGGACAAAACATTTCTAGTGTCTATTTTATGAAGTTAATTTAAGAAGAGTTTTAGAATAACGAAGGTTGTATGCGTTAACATATATGTTAAAATTACTATCTCCCTGTACTGTTTTCCTTTTATTGAAAGTGGGATTAAATCTTTCAAATCCATCACTAATAATTTCAATATTCTACATTGTTAATCGCGTCATCTTTCAAACCTATTTAAAATTCTCCTCGTTTAATTCCCCTCTTTGCATATTAATATTCATATAACCAGACGCCAGGTCTACTACGTATAAAGGGTGTAGTTTTAATAAAATCAATATTTGAATGTTCTATGTATTCAGATTGGATCATGATAAAACTAGAGTATTCCGAGAATTTCAGGCGTTCTTTCCTTTTATAGGATTAGCAAAGCATGGAATGAGCTAGCTTAATGTCTTTTGTAAACTCCTATTCCGTATACCGCTTAACTCTCTTTAGTGTAAACTATTCCCTTCTTTTCTTTTCTGATCTTTATGCTTAGTTCGATAGTTCATTAATTTTAGTGGTTAGAATATTATAACTTTGGGTTCCAAATGCTTTGATAATCATACAAACGTATTGTGGTCTCTGTTTTTGTCAAAGAATATGACAGAGTTACATACATACAAAGACCTGTAAATACGAGTATAGATGTGGACATCTAATTGTAAGCCCCGTTCGGCATTTTTGTATCTTGTATGCTTTTTCAGATTTGCTTACCATTGGCTTCCATTGCCAAAGGTATAAAAGACTTTCGTGCTTTTTCCAAGACGAGTTTATAAGCCTGTATATTTATGTATGCCCGCAGTAAAATCTATTCGTTATTACACATAGCTGTTCCCATGCGACTTCATCCGCATAAAATTATAAAAAAATCATTTTATTGTTCACATTTGACAAATTATCAATTGCAAATGTCAAAATGACATGAGATGATGTCAAACCATGACAACCTTGCTTTCTTGATGTTTGCAACAACTTATGGACTCTTTCCCACAAAGGTTTCCCACAAAACATTTAACCCTAAAGTACCCCTTTAAGTTTAACGGTGTGAACATATTTATCCTAAAACATGACGTAAAGCTTTTTATGAAAAAAAGAGTTATTCAAAAATATGCTGTAATTGCTGACATCTTAGGCAACAAAGAAGTGTGATTTTGCGCTTTATAATATTACTATAGATAAAAATATTAAGTTTAGTTTGTACGTCCTCTGCAATTTGGTTCTAAGAAGCTGAAATTAAAATAAATCAATGAAGCGTCCTAATTTGTTTCCCAGATTTAAAAGTGAATATATGCAAAAAATATATGTATTCAATATTTATACTATTACAATATTTTCCACTATATTTTTTTCAATGTCAAAAGATTTTACAAATCAAATTACGACAAACAAAACAAAATGTATCTATTGGATAATAAAACCTAATATCTCTAAAAGGTTTTGTTTGAATAAAATCTTATTCATATTTTATGCGCACAGAAAGAAAACTTTTGGATTTGGGTCGACAGAAATCTTTTATAGTAGTTTTGTTTTGTATGTGATCGATTCGTTCAATGCTTTTTATATGTTACAACGTTCAAAATTTATGAATTTGTTAACTCATTATCATATGTTGATTAAAAATAATTTCTATTCGATAAAGGCGACGTAAAAAGACGTTAAAATTGTCATTGTTAAAATCTTAAATCACTCTCAATAGTTTTAAAATGAACTTTTATTTTTAATACAAAGGCATTTTTATAGTCTTGAGAAAGACGAATAAATAGTAGAGTAATAGATACTTAATTTTGAAGTATATTTATATAACTTCATCGTGTAGTTTCAGGCAATTTCAAGTGATGAAATGGGAAACCTTAATGTATGGAAGTTTAACGAGCGCCACCAATCCCAAAGAGCTTAGAGTCAGATTAAGATTGTCTTCGGATCCATTAATTAAACTGGATATTGCACCCTCCAACCGACGACGTGTCGCTGAAGTATTAGCCGCGGGGATCCCGTTTAGTATTATATTTGTAAGAAGATTTACTTGCTATGTGTTTAATATTATTGTTATCAAGATAATGATTTGGTGGGCAAGAGACAGGAAAAGGAAATATCCTAATTCTGTACCTCCTCTCTATTAAAAGTAGAGAAATCATATAAAACTTTTTAATTTCTTGCTACTTGCAGAAGTCTATGGGCAGAGTAACTTTGCTATTTCAACGAAATTAGGTAGCCGTTTGCTCGTTTGCTACCTCAAATTATAAGAAGCATTATCAATTTTAGAAAATCCTTATTTTACAATTCTTAAATGTTCGGTGTAAATTTGGTTTGGATTTTATCTCTGTATTCTACAAACCAAGAATTTTTATTTAATACCCATTATGAGGTGTTTGTACAAAAGTGTGATCCGCCATTTTTAATGGCGGCCATCTTGGATTTGATAGCCATGTTGGTTTTGCAAAATGCTGACTTCTGCCATTAGCAGTAGCCATCGAAGAATTACAGTGATTTTGAATTGTTAAAATTGCTTTTCAATAAAACTAAGTGTTTTTCAAATTTCAGAAAAATCTTTTAACTTGACGTGGATCGAATTTGAGTTATAATTTTGTCTACAAGATAAGATGTTACTGTAAAAATACGAGCTTCGCTAACTAAACTAACTATCCGGTAAAACCTAAGATTTACCAACAAATTGCGGTAAAAGTTAGAAAAGTTATTCTTTGTTTAATCCGAGCAATTCCTTTAATACATGAGAAATATGAGATAATTTAAAATCTTAAAAACAGAGATTTTAAATATGTCATGATTCTTATAAGACAGATAAAACTGTTTCATAGTTCGAGAACGTTGTTGGCCCTGGTTTTTTATATGCATAGTTTTATTTACTGCTTTTTCATGTCTTTTTATAAAATGTCAAAATAAATAATAGCTGATGGTTTTCTCCACGAAAAATTTACGCGCAGTTTATTTTATTATTAGATAAATGTTAAATCATTTTATTTAAAAATTAAATAAGTTGTAATTTAATTTACTTTACTTTTTATTTTTGTAGCTATTTTTTTTAAACAATTGTAATTAATTGTGAAAAAAGTTTTACCAAAGTTGAAATAAACGTGCGTTTTTCAGATCACGTAGGAATAATGAGAAATTAAATGAATTTTTTTTGGAATGAATATAAATGGAATTTTAAAGTGCCTGTAACTTTCACATTGAACGAGATAAAATATTTTTTTTAAATAATTCTATTGCCGAAAATAAAACGTAGATAAAATAAAGATTGAATATTTAAAAACAACAAATATGAATAATTGTGTTAATATAAAAGTGACAGAAAATTCGCGCGCGACAATTTCGGGCGCCGCGACGCGACGGCTCAATTAGGTGTGTACGTTTTAATTTAGCGGATTTCATCGAAATAAAAATGAGACCCTTTAAAATAGCTAAAAGGAGAAAACCTTTCATTCATAACGTCCGATAATTTTACGTACTTACAGAGTTATTTAAAACATAAAACGCACCCGCAATAAAACGCATTGTAATCCAACTTCTTTCAAATATTTTTACAACCGTTAGCCTGAAAATTTTTAGAAAAAAATTACATAGGGTTATAAAATAATAACCGGCCTATATTTTGGACACATAAAAATTGACAAATGTAGGACGCTTCAAGGATTACGAAGGATTTTGCCGCTCAATACGGTGTACCTGTTGCGACGACCCTCTCAGGCGGCACGATAATCTCAAAGTTTAAACCTGGAATTGAACATACGTACCGGAGGTGCTCGCCTGTCCGTCGGGCGCTGCGCCCGTGTACTTCCGCAACACTTTTGATACACTCGAAAACAGTTTGAGGCCTTTCGTCGATGTTGGGGTAAGAAGTAAACTCCACGCACGGGCGGGAGTTTGGTAGCGGACAAGACGTTCGTCCGCTAAGCCGGTCGGAGATAGAGTGTGCGCTGACTGCGACGGCGGGCACAGCGCTGGCTGCCGCTGACGCACCCCGACCCGGTCCACCCGCGAGCCTCGCCTAACACCTTTCCAGCCTTGTAGAGAGCGGTGCTGTTACTAATTGTTTCAATTTCATACGTCTAAAAAACTCGCCAGGCGTCAGGCTTTAGTTTAAAAAAAAATACAGCTTAAAGGCATAATAATAAAAATAAAATCATAAAAAAATCATAAAACTAAAATTGTGTTTTGTTTTTTAAATCTCACCATTATTTCTACAATGTCCAGAAATGTATTTACGGTTAAATAACTAAGCCAATGTAAATTAGGCGTTTAGTTTTGCTGTAAAATTCGCTGGCAATAAGTGGGGATCAAGCGATTAAGCATAATGTAAACGGTAAACTAAACGATTAATTATCGTTTATAATTTCCATCGGGTCTATTTAACTCGTTTTCTGAGAATAAATATCAAATGTTTATCTCATAAAAGACATTTATTGGAATTAATTTTCATCAGTGTCCACGAAAATTCTGGAAAAGTTTACCCGGAATACATATTATAAAATCAAAATCAGAATTTTAATACTATTCATTACATTCCCAGTATTCAAAATAGAATTTTCCTGACGTACTGTAAAAAAATCGAATATGTGTTCATTGAATTACATGCCTTATGCATAAAAGAGAACGCACACCTTTGACAAAACTATCGCACAATTGTTTACTCTCGGTTTGATTCCTATGATCTTATATCTAGGTGCACACAATATTCGATTTTTAGTTGTGAAACTAAACAGTTGTATTGACTGCAAAACAATCGACGATCGCACAATAGTCGTGCGATAGTTATGTCAAAGGTGCGCGTCCGCTCTAATGTCGAAAATTCAATTAATACTTCAACTGAATGCAGACGAAATTTATACACATAAATTCTATTACGTGATTAATTTCTAGCTGAAAACGTTCGAAGAGTAAAGTGGTGGTAGCACATTTACTCTTCGAATTATTAGGGGCGACCGAAATTGGTCGAGACCACTGACATTTTCACGCCCTTTTAGGCTTTTAGCCTTGTAAATTAGTCTCTAGTTTACGTATACTATTCTGTGGAATAACTGCCAATAAGATAAAATTAATGATAACTTAAATTAATAATTAAAAATAACTCTTTCTGTGCGTCTCCTCCTCCGTCGGATAAGGGTAGGCAACGCATCTGCAATTGCGGATGTCTATGGGCAGCGGTCGCTTCGCCATTTTGGCGGATTGAGATGGCCGCTTGCTCGTTTGCCACCATATGTTATAAAAAAAAATATTGACAAGCTTCTACAACTTTAACTTAACCTTAATAACATATTCTAGTTAACTTCCATCGTTGAAGTGTAGGTCTCTACTTCAAAACGAATTATACAAATATTTCTCAACCCCATGAAACTCTTTGAAAAACTGGAATCATACTTCATACTAATATTATAAAATACGAAAGTTTAGATGGATAGATGGATGTTAGAGTTTGTAGCCTAAAGCTGAATAGTTCTCCATGAAAATCGGCATAGATGTAAAGCAATCTGGAAGTTTCCGTGGGATATATAAATAACAATATAACTTCATACAGGTAGTGGGAACCCACGCTTATGAATAGTTCTCACTAGTAAACTTTGACGTTGATCTTGTAAAGCTCCACTCACTGTGTACTGCCACATTAATGTGAACGTCGTTTGGATAGTTAGTGTTTTAACTACTGAATTACTCGATACTCGACTAAATAACTAGTCTAGTGCGAACTACGGATAAGGTTCTTGGATTAATTTTTCCTGTTTCGTAATTAAAAATGGTCAAATTGTCATGGTCATAGTCATGGTCTGATCATGGTCAAATGATTTTATTTACAAAGAGCTGTCGCCCGCAAACTTCGTTAGCGCAAATTTTGACCACCCGTTACGCCACTTTGACAGTGGGGAATTTGAAAAAAGTATCCTCTCGATGACAGCTAACCTCCAGTGAAAGTCCCGTCGAAATCGGCCCAGTCGGAGATTGCCCGGGACAACTGCGGCTTGCGGACAGACAGACAGATAAATGATAAAATGTTTTTTTCGTTATCGGCAACGCAAATACATCATCGTCCTAAAATTAATAACTTTTCTTTTGATATTACGAAAAGACATTCAAGTTTTATTATATGTCTATATAGATAAATTGCATTTGTATATCCATCTATCTACATAAATGCTTCTTGGGAATAAAATGTTCACCTTGATAGCGATTCCTTTAAAATATTCCACATAAATTACAAAGCATTTTTAATAACGCAAATAAAAAGTTAACTAAACGATATTGTAGTTGTTATAAACGGTAAGTGAAATAAAAACAGAAAGTTACACCGATTTGACATAAATAACAGCATTCATTTATAAAGAGAACGGTTGTACGTTCTTTGTTCAGGTGGCTTATTCTTTTAAAAGTCCACCCAGCAGTATTTTACTGCAACGTTCTACAGCGGATGCTAACAAAACACTTGCAGGTGTTCTGTAATAAAAACTACAAGGCTTTTTAATCACCTTTTATAATGCAAAGGTAAATTATTTGCAAACAACGGAGAAGAGAAAGTGTATAGGAGCAATACAATATTACCAGACTGACTAGAGGGTTTGTAATCTTATCTTACTTCATACTAATATTATAAATACGAAAGTTTAGATGGATGGATGTTTGTTAAATTTTATAGCCTAAATTGCTGAACGGATCTAAATAAAATTTGGCATATACATAGAGAATAGTCTGGAAGAACACATACTACTTAACGACTTTTTTTATTTCCGCGCCGATAAAGTAAGTAGGCATATAAATTCCATCATACCTCCTTTAGCATATATGGTTGAAAGATTTTAATGAGGTATATGTTCAATTATTGTGTGAACAAGGTAAAGATTTTTGAAGACAATTTGTCGATACTTTTTTTTATAATATAAGGTGGCAAACGAGCAAGCGGTCACCTGAATCCAACGAAATGGAAAGCGACCGCTGCCCATAGACATAAGCTATTGCAGTTGCGTCGCCTACCTTTAATTGACGGAGGAGGATACACACATAAAGGGGATATCATATGAGTTACGTTTAAATGAAAACGTAATGTCGCCTACAAGAACAGAATTTTAATTAAAGACTAAACTAAGCTGCTAACTACTAACGCTAACTGCTAACGACTAAACTAACGCATGGAGATTGTTTTTTAAAAGTATTATTATTACACTCATGCTTCATAGAATACATCAGCTCAATTTAGATATTTTTAATTCATACTACTACTGGCACAGAGATAATGGTACATTTCAGAGAAAACTCGAATGGAGATTTCTTTATAACATAAAGTGGCAAATGAGTGTCACCAATATGACGAAGCAACCGCTGCCCATAGACACCTGCAATGGCATTTCCCATTCCTATGAGTTCCCTATGCCGCCAAATCTACTTACCCTTTTCGTCCTTTCCTTATTAGAAAAGGATGAAAAGGGATAAGGACTAAAATTGGGCCTCCGGCACGCACACTCATTAGACGAAACGCGGAATTGCCCCCGGTTCACGCTTGTGTTCTGTGTGGCCATGGTGTTGCACGGACGAGCTGACCTATTCGTGCGAAGATGTTAAAGCTGGCGCCACCGACGTGAACTCAATAAAAATTAAGAGACTGTATAACTATCCTTTAAGCGAGTGATTGTACCAGTAACAAACTATTATAAACGACGACTAACTCAAAGTAAAAGAACAAGAAAATTTTGTCCCTAAATTGTGATATAATTTTATAGTTATCGTAACAATTTTAATATGTTACTGCTTTTATTTGTTACGTTATCTTGTATAACAAATGAATGTTAGACAGATTACTGTCATTATTGTGATTGATGCACGCAATGTATGTGAAATGCCGTATTAAATGGGTTCTAGTTAAGATAGAAACTAAATGTCTAAGGATTGAAGACATTATAAAATGTATAAAAGAAACAATGACAACGTTTTGGCCGAAATGTTATTCGAAAGCTTTATTGTAAGAATCGTAGTTGCGCCCGACAAACGTCCAACCTCTTGGAGTGATCACACTCGACTGATCTCGATCATGCGCAGAGCTGTCTTCTCCACTTGCGTACTATTTACACTATAAAAAAACTTTTCACAACTTAAATTAGAGTTACATTTTATCTGATACTAGCTGTTGTTCGTGACTTCGCCCGCGTTACAATTAAAATGTAAGCTATGTTCCTGTGATAACATAGCTTTTTAATGGTGCAAGCATTTTTTACAAATAGGTCCAGTAGTTTTGAGTTACTTCAATACATACAAAGTATAAATCTTTCCTCTTTATAATATTATCTATACTATTATAATAAAGCGTAAACACACACTTTTTGTTGCCTAAGATGTCAGCAAATACAACATATTTTTGATTAATCCTTTTTTTATAAAAAGACATGCACTTACGTCACGCTTTAAGCTGTATATTTTCAAGCCATTAAACTTAGGGGGTATATGTTTTGGATAAAAACCTTAATGTGGGGAAGAGAGCATAAGTTGCTGCCAACATCAAGGAGCAAGATTGCCAAGGTTTGTAAAGTCGTCATTTTGACATTTGCTAATGATGATTTGACAAATGTAAACTGTAAAATAAAATTTTCATAATTTCATGCGGATGAAGCCTCACGGGAACTAGTTAGGTATAGATATAGACTAACAGTATCTATCGATTTTTTTTATTTAATCCGCTTTTTAAAATGTATGAAAGTTCTATGGAAATGAATATTCTGATATTCAAAAGATTTTATCCCTACATGTACAGAATATTTCTGTCCGGCGTTACAACTGAAATATTCGTATAAAGCCATATTCAGCTTACATATTTTCAGCAAAAAGTTGAATATAAATTCTCCTTTTTAGTTATGTCGATACATCGACGCGGAAGATCTTTTAAATTTCAGAGCGATCCCTTT